GACCTGAGCGGAAGTCGGACGCCCAACCGACTGAGCCACCCGGGTGCGCCTGTTTTTGGCTTTATTGAGATACACGTTTAAGAGGTACAGGATAATGATTTGACGTACGCATGTTGCACAACGATTAGTTAACATCTGTCACCTGATATGGTGACCAAAAATTGGTCTTTTCCCGCTTGTGATGGTGGAGGCTTGGGGAAGCTCAGGAGGGCTCTGCTGGGCCAGAGCACCGTCGAGGCAACGTTTAGGTGGTAGATGCCAGGGACGGGAGGCGGAGAGGCTGGGGCCCTCCAGCACGTCTCATGGGGGCACCTGGGTGGCTCAGTCCATTAAGCATCCAACTTCGGCCCGGGTCATGATCTCGCGGTCCGTGAGTTTGAGCCCCGCGTCGGGCTCTGGGCCGACCGCTCGGAGCCCGGAGCCCGATTCGGATTCTGTGTCTCCCCCTCTCTCTGCCCCTCCCCCACTCACGCTCTGTCTCTGTCTCTCAAAAGTAAATAAACTTAAAAAACAAAACACAGGACCCTTCGTGAGCAGCCAGGGGGTCGTGGCAGGACAAGACATTTTTCACCCCATCTCCCAGATGAGGAAACTGAGGCCCAGAGGGGTGAAACGACCTGCCAAGGTCCTATAGCCGAGGGTGGTGAAATCAGGACTCGAACCCAGCACTGGGCACTAAACATTACACCCCCTCCCCTCTTTCTGACTCTCCCCTTCTGTCTCCCTCTCTGCCTTGGTCCCTCTTATTCCACATCTGTCTCTGTCTCCTCCTCCTCCGCCTGTCTTCTCTGTCTCCCTCTCCCTCCCCACCTCTCTGTGCTTTTCTGTGCCTTTTCTGTCTCTGTCACTCTTTATTTCTCTCTTTCGGTTAACGTCAGCTAAGTAAGCAGCAAAGTGTGCGTAGTTGGTTGTGAATGTGTGTCCCTTGACACACGGCCGCTTGTGGTGGACACTGGTCTTTGACCTAAACCTTTTTTATTCATAGATGCTCACTGTGGCCAATATCAAAGCATCGGAATTTAGGGGGCTTGGGATCACGCATTCATTCAACAAACATTCCTTGAATGCCTCCTGTGTGCAGGTCGTCTTCCAGGCGCCTTGCATATGTAGTGAATGGAAAAGACAAAAATCCCTGTCTGGGGGGAGTTGACGTTTTAGCGGAGGGTGGAGTTGATCAACAACGTAACGAAGAGATTGTATGTATGTGTGTGTCAAGGGTCAAGTATCTTAAATATTTTAGGCTTCGTGGGCCATACAGTCTCTGTCGCAACTGCTCAGCTCACGTTGCGACAACGTGAGCTTTGCTCAGTCACAACAAAGCAGCCACGGAGAAAATACATGAGGGGATGGACATGGCTGTGTGCCAACAAAGCCAGAATTTACAAACACAAGTGGCTAGTCCATGGGTTCTTTGCAGACTCATGTGTGGGAGGGGGGTGGGAGCGTGGGGAGAAAAATTAAGCAGTAGAGGGGTTGTGGATCATCAGAGTGAGAGGTTGTAGTTCTCCGAATAAGCCCTGAAGGAGGTGAGGGGGAACATGGAAGTATGTTAAGGAAGGAAGACCCAGGATAGCCAGTGCAAAGGCCCTGGGGCAGCAGCACGCCTGGTATTTGTGAGGAGCAGCAAGGTGGCTCACATGGCTGGTTGAGAGAGTAAGGGCAGACGAGGGCGGGGGTGAGGTCCCAGGAGGGGACAGGCGGAGAGGCTGTATAATTTATCATCCAAACCGGGACAGTTTTGAGAGCAAACAGGTAAAGGAGGACTCAAAAAATAATTAACAGGCGTTGCCTGATCTACAATGGGTGTAAACTGGGACATTCGACCTCCCGCACCACCACTGTGGGACCTTGGCTCTT